GCCAGCCGCAGCTTCCTTATTCCTCCCTCAGGCCCCCTCCTGGGCTGCTTGGCACCGGAGCGGCGGTGGGACAAGAATTCAGCCAGGGCCCCTGGGCTTTTTGGAAGGGGGCGGATTCCTCCCTGTCCCCAGGAGCAGTAGGGAAATGAGACCTCCCTCCACAGCCCCATGCACCTGGGCGAGCTGCAAATCTAGGCTCGGGGCTCCCCACGTTGGCCCAGGGAGCCTCCCCAAACGCACCTTCCCCACCCCGAGCTTTAACCGGGTAGGACAAGAATTCAGCCAGGGCCCCTGGGCTTTTTGGAAGGGGGCGGATTCCTCCCTGTCCCCAGGAGCAGTAGGGAAATGAGACCTCCCTCCACAGCCCCATGCACCTGGGCGAGCTGCAAATCTAGGCTCGGGGCTCCCCACGTTGGCCCAGGGAGCCTCCCCAAACGCACCTTCCCCACCCCGAGCTTTAACCGGGTAGGCCCAACTCCTCCGAACCGGCGCCACGGTGTTGCCATGGCGAGGATTATGCTAGCGCATGCTTCACGGCCTAATTGGTACAGAAGCGTCCTGTGAACAGCCAAGGCACCCGTTTTCCCTCTCATCCGCCCACCCCCACAATTTCTCCAAGGGGCAACGGTCTGGTGGGGGTCTGCCTGTCGCTCAGACCACCGACACCCCCCTGGCCGTGCTGCTGTGACACACACAGAGGATGCTTTGCCGCAGTTTTCCTGCCTCCCCTTCTCCCCCAGTTTATTCATTGTGGCGCAGGCCTGGGGTGTGTTGCTCTCACAACTGTGCAGGAGTCATCCCTGGGCGCACACACACACCCCAGCTTCGGTAGCAGTGGTGCTGCCTGCTCAGGGTTTCATCCCCTCTCCCCCCCCCGTTTTTCTCCCTTTGCCTGAGAGGCGGCAGGAGTCTGAGAGAGGAGACCCGGCAGGATGGATCCTGGGCAGGCGACGAGCGAGAGTGTGAGACTGTCCCTGACAAACTCAGCACACCCTGCCAGCCCCGCACCGCCTTCCCCGGGGCGCTCCCCAATCCCTCAGAGATGAAGGCGCTTGCCATAGCTCTGCTGCCCTCGGGGACCGGGGTCCCACCGCCCCCACCCAGACGCTCTCTGTGGGAAGCTCAGCCCTTAACGGCA